AATGATGAGCAGTCTCCTCCCATGCAATTTTCTGCCTCTCGAAGCCCACTGACTCAACAGCACACAATAACAAGAAGAAGTAGCCTCAGCAGCTACTCTTTTTGTTGTTGTTGTTGTTGTTGTCGTCATTGTTAATATATATCATACAATTTTTCCATTTCACATTTTTTCAGATGAACAATTTCATTAATAACACTTACATGAAAAATTATGAGTAACATTGAGAAGAGTGGGAATCCCAGAACACTTATTTGTGCTCCTGATAAATCTACACCTAGATCAAGAAGCTGTTGTCCAAATAAAGCAAGGTTGAAACATAGCATGGTTGAAAAGTCAAGAAAGATGCACATGAGGCTTGTACCCATTTTCCATACACCTATTCTATCTGTATTCTGAGCAAATAACTTGTGGAGCTGGACACGATGAATAGGAATGTGGCATCAGGATCAGAGGAAAACTCATCAACAACCTGTACTATGCATTACTTAGCAACCTTGCTTGCTGAAAATGAGGAAGACATTAAATATTTGCTGCAGAATATCAAGAACTACAGCCTTCAATGTGGATTACATCTCAATATCAAGGAAACAAAGGTCCTCATCACAGGACCAATGGTCAACACCATCATAGATGGAGAAAGGATTGAAGCTACCAATGATTTCCTCTTGCTTGGACCAAGAATCAACATCCTTGGTAAAAATAGTCAGGATATTATAAGCTGTATTGCATTGGGAAAATCTGCTGTCAAGGACCTCATCAAAATAATTAAGAACAATGATGCCAGTTTGAACACTAAGGTGTTCCTGATTCAAGCCATAGTCTTATTGATCACCTGCTGTGTGTCAGAGAATAAGGATGGCAGAAGAGGAAGTGTTGCCTTTGAGTTGTGATGCTGGAGAAGAATACTGAATATCTTGTAGATTGTCAAAAGAATAAACAGATTTGTCTTGGGGAAAGTGCAGCCAGAGTGCTCCTTGGAAGCAAAGATGATAAGTTTTGTCTTTCACCTATAGACATGAAGCTAGTCATGGCTCTATCTTGGAAAGTGATATCATGCTTGGAAAGGTTGAGGGTCACCAGAATAAAGGAAGACTCCTAAGAAGATAGATTGACATGATGACTTCAGCAATGAGCTCAAGTGTGTTAGAGATGATGAGCATGGCACAAGACAGGGCAGGCTTCAGGTCTATTGTTAATAGCTATGAGTTGGACTTCACTCGAAAGCACTTAGCAACAATAGCAATAATAACATTAATCAGATGCTCAACCTTACCTTTAATCAATAAGATTTTATTACTATAAACCAAATATCAGTATTTCACACAAAATAAAAACTCCCCCTTTTCTCACCTCCCTTCTACTCCTGGTAATCACTGATAAACTTTGGTTTCTATACATTTGCCTTTTCCTGTCTTGTGTATTGTGATTAAGTGTAGCTTTATGAAGTTAGTAAGTTTTCCAATCAAACATTCATACACATTTTGTTTTATGACATTAAGTACAATACACACAAACAACTAGACTCTTGCTATTTGCTTCTTATTTCCATTAATATTTATATCCTTTTATTTCCTGGGAGGTAGGGAGCTCTAGCGTACTGGTCTGTTGGGAGTTGCATTGCTGACCCAAAAGCAGAACCTTTCTGGTGATTCAAATTCACCAGCAGCTCTGCAGGAGAAAGATGGGCAACATTCTCCCAAGCAATTTACAGCCTCCCTAAACCCACTGAAGAGTCAGCTTGCGTTGGTTGCCACATGACTGTAATAAATTTGAGCTCAACTTTTATCTACTTTCTGAGCTTTTACCCCTGAGAAAACGCTGTATTTTTAATCTAATAGTCACCTGTATTTCATTCCAGGCTAGGTTTTTACCATTGCCATTTTTGCTGTGTTTCTTATTCTCTTCTTTCTGTTTACCATGATTCGTCCACTTTACTTTGGTGTCTCTGTGTGAAGGACTTCACTTCAAATTTCTTGTGGTTTTGGTCTTGTTTTTACAAATTCTCTAAGTTCCTTCTTTACTGCAAAGGATGTGATTTCTCCTTCATATGAGAAATCAGAGCTTAATCTGTTTCCTCTTTGTAGGTGGCTCTTTGTTTTTCCTCGCGCTGCTTTTAGTATTCTATCCTTATCTTTTAATATGGAGAATTTGACAATGATATGTCTTAATGTTTTTTTCCTTTTGAGCCTACTCTATTCTCTATCTGCTGTGCTTCTTGGATTTCCCCTTCTTCAAAATACCTTGGAAGGTTTTTTCTAGTACCTCTTCCACAACTTTCCCAACAACTTCTCTGTCACTCCCATGTTCTGGAATTCCAATCACATATACATTCTTCATTTTCATGTCATTCCACATATTATAATATTTTCTTTATGTATAATCTCTGATTTTTCTTCTAGTATGTCTCTATTGAGACTCTTGTTTTCCAGTTCACTGAATCTTTATATTCCATCTCTTCAGTTCTACTTTTTTGTCCCAACAGAGTGTTGGACACCTCTGCCATTTTGGTCTTAATATTCTGGATTGCATTTCCATGCTTTTCTGTTATTTCCAGTACTGTATTAACTGTACCCTCTCTGTTTTGTGATGATTTTTTAAGTTCTTGTAGCTTTTTATCTATAGCATCAATTCTTTCTTCCATCTTTTGCATTAGTAGCTTGTCAAGTTGTTCCTCGTCAATGTATTTCTTCTGGATTACTGTCTCTGGTATTTGCTCTCCTAATGGCTTCTATTGTTTCTTCCATCATTTGCATCTTCATCTGTAGCTGTTCAAATTCCACATCAACATTTCTTCTGGTTCTCTCTATCTGGGGTATTCAGTGGGTCTGATTTTTAGGAGAACGGTTATTTTGTTTTTTCATGATGACTGAGGCAAACTCCTGCTTTCTTGATATTATGTGAGTCTTTTCTTAGTAGATTTTATGCATGGAATCATTTTGTGAAGGTTCTGTATATTTATTTATGCTCTCCTCTTGAGTCTTGGGCCTGGAGCAGGCGGACTGTTGCCCTCCAGAACCCACAGCTCCACCCAGCCTTTTCCATTTGAGCTTAAGAAATCCCACATGATGTAGCTAGACATCCATGTTCAGGACCAAAGTATCTGTGATATTCGTGTTCCTGGTGCCAGACAGTCGAGTAGCAGCAGCAGTCTCCAAGTGTTGGAGCAGGGTCTTCAGGCAGTGGTGCAGTGGTCTATTGCTACAGGAAGGAGTGAGGTCCAAGACACACTGGAACTGCAGCCCCTCAATCTGTCAAGCAGTGATCTGTTGCAGCTGGAGTGTGAGTGCACCTGGGTTGGCTGTAGATTTTAGCAGATGCCAGGAAAGCTGTGGTGGGAAGACACTCCAGACTCTAACCATGCCATACAGGTCTTGGCATCTTGCAGCGGAGCAATGACAAGGTATGCAAGAGCATGACCCAACAGTGACCCATAATTGTTCTCCTGGTCCCTTTACACAGCCCTGGGTCCCATGAGGATGAAAGTAGAAGCTGCCAGCCCTCTTATGAATCCCAGCATCCTTCTGCTGTGTCAAATGATCAAAGCAAGTCCTAAGACCAAGTCAGTTCATGGGGAGGGGAAATGTATCAGGGAAGAAGAAACCTTCTGATATAAAGCAAGAATAGCAAACACAAGAGACAACTATTAAAAGGACTATGTGTGTTGCAGAAATTATTCTGTTATATGAGCCCTAAAAAGACCTGGCTCAGAATTGTAAAGCTGGACAAAGCTTGTAAAAGTCATCTAATGACTGAGATTCTTAATGCAAAGTATTGCCAAAATATGCCCCATCCTTCTTCCTCAAAGGAAAGCAAGACTCAGAAGGGTAATTGCCATTATCCCGTTACTGAGAGGCAGGGCTACACTCCAAAGTCCTGAAACAGCCTTGAATATAAGCATGAGCTCACAATCCCAGCCCTTCAAACACAGGAGAGCAGTTCTAACTACATAAACCTCGCCTACACTGTTTCATTTCCATAGGAAATCTGTAACTGTGATTCTGCAGCAAGCTATGAGGAATCTTTGAGTGAAAATAAAAAATTTTTTTAATTAATTTTAATGAAAGTTTACAGAGACTTGGGATGGCATTCATTCATTGTTGCGCTTTTCTCTCTGGCCACCCCTCTCGCACAATTCACTCTTCTCTTTGAAAATTAAAAGAAAAATTATTTCATTGTTATACAATCTCTCCCCACAAGTTCACTCCACTGCGCAGCCTTCATTCTGGACTCATGTCATGACAATAATTCCTAATCAAATATCCCCTTTAAACAGCTCCCTCAGGATGCATTAATTATCCCCTCTTTCTCAGTCTTACCTCAACCCCAATGCCAGTTCTGTTTTACAACAGTGTAAATAGTCATCTTTTTGTGACTGAGATATTTCACTCATCATATCAAATCTTAAAGTTGATATTCTGAGAAGCCTTTTTTAGTAGAAAGAATCCAATGTAAAGAGTTGTCTGAAAAAAAACAGGGTCTTGGAATATCCAGATGGAGCCAGAGAGAAGTGTGGTTGTTAGATGCCCTCCAGTCAATTGTGGCCTCTGTGAAAAATGGATCTGAACTTAGTCCTCGTGTGCCATCCTCACTATTTGAGATATGCTGGAGCTCGTTGTTGTAGTCACCATGTAAATCCATCTTGTTGTATTCCTCTCTTACACTGACCCCTCCACCCCTCTAAGAATGATGTCTAAGGACTGGACCCTCCTAAGAACATGCTCAAATGTGTGAGACAAAGTTTCATCATCATTTCCTCCAAGGAGCAGAGTGAAATTGCTACAATCTAACAAACTTCACAGTGCTCACCTGCTAACTGGAGGTTAGTGGTTTAGAGACACTTTAAAACCACTCAAAGACACTTCAGGAAAAAAAGGCTTTGGTCATCTGTTTCTGAAAACCATATGAGCAGAGGTCTGCTCTGCCCTGGTGAGTCTGACCCAGGGAGCCTCTCCAAAGTTCTTTTGGCAGCTTATCTACAACCTGACTGTTTTTCTCCACAGCCATGGGACCCGATGTGCAGGGGAAGTGTCTGCTGCAGCCAACAACAACATCTGTGGGGTCGGGGTGGCATACAACTCCAAGGTTGCAGGTAAGCTGTCCTGGTCATTCTACAGGTGTCCTGGTGCGAAGCCAGAGCAGAGCAGGGTTGAGCAAAAACACCCACTGGGACCAAATTGCTGAAACTCTTAGATTAGCAAGAATAAAAGAAAAATGTTAAACTACATAGCAATATCAATAGAGTTTTAATTTTCCATTAAACTTAATGTAAACGTAGAAAAGTACACAGCTCAATGACATTTCACAAATATTAACCAGCACCCAGATCAAGAAAAAAACCTAACCAGAATCCCAAAAGCCACCCTCATTTTCCCTCCCAATTATTACCCACCATATAATAACTACTAACATGTTTTCTAACAGAAAATGGGGATTTGCTGACTTTTGAAGTTCTTATAAGTGTAATTGTAGAGACTCCATGGGCTTGTGTCTTTATCAATAATTTTCTTGTTATTTAGTTGGAACTGACCCATAGCTGCCCGGAAGGTTTTCAGAGACAGTTAATCACACAGGAGAACATTGCCCATCTTTCTCCCATGAAGCAGCTGGCAAATTTGAACTATGTACTTTTGCTTTGACAGTGGCAACCTTACCACCAGAGCTCCCCTAACAAAAAAACAACCCAATAATAATAATAATTTTAATGAGACACAAACATATAAGACCTTAGAATATTTATAATGTTTGTAAAATTTGCTCACAAATTATTTGTAAGCACGCTCAGAGCCCTTTTTAAAATATTTTGTACAATGCAACTCATCTTCAAAGAAATTCCACCATGTACAACAACTATTGGCATTCTCTTTGTAAGAGTTTCACACTTTGGGATAGAAGGTCACTGGAAATTTTATTTAAAAAACGCAGCTCCTTCCAAAGAGGGAGAATGCAAGAGGTCTTTAAGCTTTCAGCAAGATGCCTGAGGAGAGAGTGACTCCAGATTTGTTACACATTGTACATCAAATAAACTTTTAATATATTCAAGCTGAGTCACTCAACCTTTTTCTCTTTTTCGGTAGCATTCCTGATATTTTACCCTGGTGATTAAATGCAACCATAAACATACTTCATGTTGACACTGCGTTTCCAGAGGCCTAAATAAAGCAACAGTCGCCTATTGAAATGAGGTGTTCACTTCTTTCAGTGATGCTTGCTAAGTGGCCTGCCTTTGCTGGGTGCTCAGCTGTACAAAGAATCCATCTGGAAGGCTCTGCAGGGTAAAGGGACAAGGCTGTGTCCCTCAGCTTGCTTTACTTTGTATGCAACCCAGATTCTGCACTAAAATGTCAGAGCTAGGAGTTCAGGAGAAAAAAAAATCACTGGGCTATTATTTTATATTCATGGTGAGGTGAGGCAGGGCTTCTGCTCATGTGCAGAGCTGGAGAAAACTGAAGAATACATAAGCCTCCACACAAGTGAAGTAGCTTGGTGTTTTAACAAAAGGATTTGCAGGATTCTTCCTTACGAAAGTTGGGAGCTTTCGGCTCTCTGAACTGTCATTAGGTATTCTTTGCTTATTTGCATGGGTTTGTTTTGTTGGGCTTTTTTTCTTCTCTCTCACTATTTGTACTCTAAAAATACTTGAGCTGCTCATCAAATATTCCTAATCACCCTCTTCTTAGTTTTAATTTCCTTGAGAAACAAACTCGGAGACAATGATTTGTGTGTAAGCAGTTGACTTGGGAGGTTATCTCAAGAAGCTAGGCTGAGGGATTGGGGAAAGGAGGAAAGCCAACAGTGTTCTCACGAATGAGTAACTTTTTCCCCCCCATTCATTCATTGTTGCACTTTTCTCCCTGCCCAGTTTTCTCCCTCCCCTCCCCAGTTCTCTCTTCTTTTTGAAAAGTAAAAGAAAAATTCTCTCATTGTTATACAATCACTCCCCTCAAGTCCACTCCACTGTGCAGCCCTCATTCTGTACTCGTGTCATGAAAATAATACCTAATTATATATCCCTTTTTAACAGTCCCTCCCTCATCTGTTTCAATGTAGTGAAAGTAATTTATCTCATCTTTCTCAGTCTTCCCCCAACCTTGACATCAGTACCCTTTCACAACAGTGGCACTATGCAGTGTTTGTCCTTCTGCGACTGAGATATTTCACTCAGCATAATGACCTCCAGGGTGACCCATTTATGGACAACTGGGATGGAGCTTTACAGGTGGTCCTGTGAGAGTCTTTAGGGAAAACCCTCAGAATTCACCTTCCCAACAGTGAGGAGGAAGGGGAATTTTACCCACCAACTCCCACTTGGGGTGGCCCCTGGACCACTAACCTCTGGCCTGATCAGTCAGCTGCTGCTTGGGCTCAGCAAATAGCCCAAGACCAAAGAAGCCTTACCCAGGAAACAGCACTGCTGTTTATTTAGTCTTTCCCTCTTCAGACTACATGTCCTCCAAGGTCCACTCTGCAGAGCGAAGATGAGAGAACACAGCCTGGAGCTAGCCAACAAGCTCGGGCTCCTAAAACTAAGGAATAGCCGATTCTCTTTCTTTTTGTCCACTTTCTTTTATTTTATAGTGGTGTGCACTTGCCCATTTGAGATGCACAGAACTTGAACAAGAGAGTCCCTTCCTTCTATTTTCTACTGCAACCACCTGGCCAATGGACTGGAAGATATCTATATTTGCTTGCATATCAAAGAAAGGTGACCTGACAGAGTGTGGAAATTATCAAACAGTATCATTGATATCACATACAAGCAAGATTCTGCTGAAGATTATTCAAAAATGACTGGAACAGCCCATCAGCAGAGAACTGCCTGAAGTGCAGGCTGGGTTTAGAAGAGACTGTGGTACTAGGGATATTATAGGTAATGTCAGATGGATCTTGGCTGAAAGCAGAGCATACCAGGGAATGTCTATCTGTGTTTCATTGACTATGCAAAGGCACTTGACTGTGTAGATCACAACAAACTGTGGCTGACTCCGAGAAGAAAGGGAATCCCAGAACACTTGATCATACTTATGTGAAACCTATACTTGGACCAGGAAGCAGTTGTCAGAACAGAGCAAGGAGACACTGCATAGTTCAAAATTGAGAAGGATGTGCCCCAAGGATATGTCTTATCTCCATATCTTCTCAAGCTATATGCAGAACAGATTATCTGGGAGGCTGGGCATCAGGACTGGAGGAAGACTCATCAACAATCTGCATTATGCAGATGAACTGAGGAGGACCTGAAGCGCTTGCTGCTGAGGGTCAAGGAATTTGTTGTTGTTGTGTGTCATCGAGTCACTTGGGACTCATAGCAACCCTATTTACAAGAGTGCTAAATGCTGCTCTATCCTTTGCCAACCTCATTGTCTCCAACACACCTACTCCCACTACCCCAATCACTGAAGTGATCCATGTCATCAAGGGTTTTCCTCTCCTGCGCTGTCCCTCCCATCTCCCAAACATAATGTCCCTCTCCAAGGATCAGTCCCTCCCTACAACATGTACAAAGTATGTCAGACGAAGTCTAAGAATCCTGGCCTCCAAAGGGCAGTCCAGCTTCACCCTCTCCAGGACAAACCTGTTTATTCTCCTCTCAGTCCATGGTATATTCAACACTCTTCTCCAGCACCACAGCTCAAAGGCATCCATTCTCTTTCTATTATCCCTAGTCACTATCTAGCTCTCCAATGAGTATCATGCAATTGCATGACTATAGGCCAGATTAGGCATACCTTAGTCTCCAGCCTGATGTCATTACTCTTCAGTACTCTTCAAAGGTCCCTGACAGCTGACTTTCTGAATGCAGTTCTTCTTTTGATTTCTTGGTTGCTGGTACCAAGAGTGTTGACTGTGGAGCCAAGCAAACTAAAACTTAACTATCTCAATCCCTTCACCATCCATAGTGATGCTGCCAATTGGACCAGTGGTGAGAATCTTTTCTGTCTTGATGTTGAGCTTCAACCGATATTGAAGGCTGCAGTCCTTGGCCTTCTGCAGCAAACGCTTCAAGTCCTCTTCAGTTTTAGCAAGCAGGGTGTGTCATCTGCATAATGCAGGTTGTTGATGATTCTTCCACCAATCCTGGTGCCACATTCCTCCTCATATAGCCCAGCATCCAGAGATCTGTTCTGCATACAGATTGAAAAGGTATGGGGATAGAATACATCCCCGGCGGACGTCCTTCCCAATTTCCTTGCTCTGTTCTGACAACTGCCTCTTGGTCCAAGTATAGGTTTCACATAAGCACAATCAAATGTTCGGAGATTCCCATTCTTCACAGATTCAGCCACAGCTTGTTGTGATCCACACAGTCAAAAGCCTTTGCATAGTCAATGAAGCACAGATAGACATTCCTCTGGTACTCTCTGTTTTCTGCCAAGATATATGTAACATTAATTATACTACCTCTAGTACCACGACCTCTTGTAAATCCAGCCTGCAATTCTCTGATGACATGTTGCTCCAGTCATTTTTGGATAATTTTCAACAGAATCTTGCTTGCATTTGATAGCTATGGATTGAAGCTCAACCTCAAGAAAACATAATTCTCACCAGATTAAGATTGCTAACAGCTTCATTTTGCTTAGCTCTACAATCAACACTCTTGATACCAGCAGCCAGGAAATTAAAATGTGAATTCTATTTGAAATTCTGCTCTCTAAGACCTCTTCAAAGTACTGAAGAGCAACGATGTTAGACTGGAGATTGAGGTGTGCAATTACTTCCTATGTATCAGAAACCTGGACAATGACTAGAAATGATAGAAGGTGAATTGATTCCTTTGAGCTGTGATGCTGGAAAAGAGTATTGAATATATTATGGACTGCTAGGAGAACAAACAAGTTTGTCCTGGAAAGGGTGAAACCAGGCTGCTTCTTTGAGACAAGGATTCTGAAGGTTCATCTGACATACTTTGGACATGTTGTATCATGGGATCAGTCCTTGGAGAGGGACATCATGCTTGGGAGGGTGGGGGGAACAGCACAGGAGACGAAGACCCTCTATGAGATGGATTGATTCCGTGACTGGGGTAATGGAGGTAGGTGTATCAGAGACAATCAGATTGGCACAAGATAGAGCAGAATTTAGGCTGTT